ATGTATATGTATATAAATATATGTATCAGGATTGTGTGTGTGTGAGTGCGCGTGCGTGCTTGCGTGCGTGCGCGAGTGTGTGTGAGTCGGAGATGATATGTAGCAGTATCCAAGAGACGGCGGCGGGCGGTGGTGCACGTGGTACAGCACTACTCCCATCCAATCCACTCATCTACCCTCAACGTGTACAGCACTACTCCATCCATCCACCATCTTACCCCTCAGCGTGTAACAGCACTAACTCCACTCCACCATCTACCTCACCGTATACAAGCACTACTCCATCCACGCATCTACCCGCTCACGTGTACAGCAATACTCGCATCCACCATCTACCGCCTCACGTGTACAGCCATTAAGCTCCATGCCAGCCATCTACCCCTCAGCGTCGTACAGCACTACTCATCCACCATCTAGCTCGCCTCACGTGTACAAGCACTACTCGCCATCCACCATCTCACCCTCACGTGTAGGCAGCATTACTGCCACTCCACCATCTACGGCTCACGTGTACCAGCTACTCCATCCACCATCTACCCTCACGATGCTACAGCCATTATCCAATCCACCATCTACCCCCACGTGATAAGCATACTCATCCACATCTACCCTCCAGCGTGTACAGCACTACTCCAATCCACCATCTACCCCTCACGTGTTACAAGCACTACTCATCCACCAATCTACCCCTCAACGTGTACAGCACTACTCCATCACCATCTACCCTCACGTGTACAGCCCTACTCCATCCACATCTACCCTCCACGTGTACAGCACTACTCCACCCACAATCTTACCCTCACGTGTACCAGCCACATACTCCATCCACCATCTACCCCTCACGTGTACAAGCACTACTCCACTCCCCATCTACTCCCTCACGTGTAAAGCACTACTCCACTCACCATTCTACCCCTCACGCCCATGATACAGCACTACTCATCACATCTACTGCCCTCCACGTGTACACGCACTACTCATCACCATCTACCCCTCCCGTGTACAGCATTACTCCATCCACCAAATTACCCCTCACGGTACAGCACTATCCATCACCATCTCCGCCTCACGTGTAACAGCAATTACTCCATCCACCATTACCCCTCACGTGTACATCATTACTATCCCCATCTACCCTCACTGTGTACAGCACTACTCCATCCACCACTCTACCCCTCACGCTGTAACAGACCTACATGCCATCCACCATCTACCCCTCAACGATGGTACAGCATTACTCCATCACACCATCAGCCCTCACGTGTACCAGCACTTACTCCCATCCACCATTCTACCCCTCACGTGTACATCATTACTTCATCCACCAATCTACCCTCACGTGTACAGCACTACTCCACTGCCACCATCTACCCCTGCACGTGTCACAGCATTACTGCATCCATCCACCATCTACCCTACGTGTACGCCACTACTCCACTCCATCCACATCTACCCTTCACGGTACCATCAGTACTTCATCCACCATCTTACCCTCACGTGTCAGCGCACTACTCCATCCACATCTTACCCCTCAGCGTGTACAGCATATACTCCATCCATCCACAATCTACCCCTCACGTGCTACGCAGCACTTACTCCATCCACCATCTACCCTCACGATGAGTACAGCACTACTCCATCACCATCTGACCCTCACGTGATACAGCATTACTCACCATCCACATCTACTTCTCACGTGTACGAGCACTACTCCATCCATCCACCATCATACCCTACGTGTACACCACTACGTCCATCCATCCACCATCTACCCTCACGTGCTACAGCACTTACTCCATCCACTTCTACCTCACGTGTACAGCACTTACTCCATCCACCATCTACCCCTCAGTGCTATCAGCATTACGCCATCCACCATCTACCCTCACGTGTCAGGCACTAATCCATCCACCATCTACCCTCACGTGTACAGCACTACTCCATCCACCATCTACCCCTCACGTGTACAGCACTACTCCATCCACCATCTACCCCTCACGTGTACAGCACTACTCCATCCATCCACCATCTACCCCTCACGTGTACAGCACTACTCCATCCATCCACGCGATCTACCCCTCACCGTGTACAGCTACTCCATCCCACCATCTACCCTCACGTGTACAAGCACTACCTCCATCCACCATCTACCCTCACGTCGCTACAGCAATTACTCATTCCACCATCTACCCCTCACGTGTACAGCACTACTTAATCCAATCCACATCTACCGCCCTCACGGTGGTAAGCTTACTCCATCCACCCATCTACCCCTCACGTGTACAGCAACTCCATCCACCTCTACCCCTCGACGGTACAGCACTAACTTCCAATCCATGCCACCATCTACCCCTCACGTGTACGCACTACGTCCATCCTCCACCAATCTACCACCTCAACGTGACTACAGCCACTACTCATCACATCTACCCTACGTGTACAGCATCTATCCAATCCACCCATCCTACCCCTCAACGTGTACAGCACTACCATCCCCATCTACCCTCCACGTTGTACAGCACTACTCCATCCACATCTACCCTCACGTGCCTACCAGCACTCTTCATTCCACCATCTACCCTCACGTGGTACAGCACTTACTCCATCCACATCTTCACCCCTCACGTGTTACAGCATTACTCCAATCCACCAATCTACCCTCACGTGTACAGCACTACTCATCCGACCATCTACCCCTCACGTGTACGCGATTACTCAATCCACCATCTTACCCTCAAGTGAACAGCACTACTCCACTCCATCCACATCTACCCCTCACGTGATACGCATTACTCCCATCCACCATCTACCCTCACCGTGGTACAGCATTACTCCAATCCACATCTACCCCTCACGTGATACAGCACTACTCATCCACCAAATTCTACCCCCACGTGTACAGGCACTACTCCATCCATATCCTCNCCATCTACCCCTCACGTGTACAGCACTACTCCATCCACCATCTACCCCTCACGTGTACAGCACTACTCCATCCACCATCTACCCCTCACGCGTACCCTTGCCATCGTCAGACTGTGGCAATAAGCTAGGCTGAGCTAGTATAGCCTGTCGTCGGCTTTACTGGCGTACGCGGTAATTGATGACGACGTGTGCACTGGCATTCAGTGACGAAAGGGTTAATGCGATTACGGATGGATTAGAACATCAAGTCGCGCCGACATACCGGCAAAGAGTCGGGCAGCGACTAAACGCGTATCTGTTCGAGTCGTGACCTACAATTCAACTCTATTTTGAAGGCCAATATTTCGCTGACAGCGCTGGGATCGGAAGAATGTAAGTGAATGTGTGTGTGTGGAATGGGGGGGGGGGCAATAGAAATAGTTCTTGCGTGACATATGCAGAACGTTAAAATAGTTCCTGCATGACACATGCAGGCCTTTAAATGGTTCCTGTACGACATATGAAGGGTGTTAAAGCAACGGTAAGTGTATCACGTTTATTATCGCGTACTTACGTTATACATGGAATAGGGCACGCGACAGATTCATTCACGTCGAAGGGTTTTCACAGTCAATGCCTTGGTTTTAGCTTTTGGTCGAATCTTCTTTGACGTCATGCAAGATCACGGCGGTGTGTGCGCATGCGCAGGCGGGGACGGGCGGGTGGGAACAACGAGAGAAACTAAACTCATGCATTGCCGCCTGACCGACGCACGCTGGCAGGCGGGGCGGCGCGCGGTCTGCGGTTGCATTGAAACGCCGACGAAGAATGTAGGAAATTCACGTGACGACGCGCGCGGAGATCACGTGACATTCGCGACGTATCTGCGCGATAACCGAAAACGTGGGAAAAATGTGTCTCATACATGTAAAAATTGTGATTGATTTAAAAACTGTAGAGTATTCTGACGAGTCCAAGGCTCGCACTACACACGGCTTGTTCTGCCGAGCAAATAGATGTTTCCCTCTCCCGGACGTTGGTTTCTCCCGCGCGCCCGTCGTCGCGGGAGAACAGGTGGCGTCGGCATCTAACTCGCTCGCCACCAGAAAGGCCCTCGCGCAAAAATTCTGCTCGCATTGTTCTCAATTAGACCGCGTGATGCGATCTCAGCAGCGGTTTCTTTCATTTGCCTCGGTCGGCGTACGAGAAAATAATGCCAGCAGATCTAGACATCGCCTGAGACATATAGACTGTCGCCGCTGGTTCGCACAGCGCGACCCAGCGAGGCGCGTAGGTGCAGGTAGCCGGGGCGACCAGCCGACGAAGGCGCATGCCCGCCAGCGATGACTCTAGTCGGCCGACTAATGAGTTACACCGCAAGAAAAGACGAGGGCGCAAAAAGCTAACAACGTTTTTTTTTCAGCGTAAACAAAAAGCTGCCGTTCGGAAGCGAAACGCACGCTGGCTGCTAGGCGGCGGCTGCGGCGTCATCGTCGGCTGGCGTAGGCAGCTCGGCGTGACTGACGCGAGTTCAGACGCGTCGTCGGCTGACGCAGGTCGGCGTGACTGACGTGAGTTCTGACCCGGCGTCGGCTGACGGAGGTCGACGTCAGACGGCGGCGGCGCGTCGTCGGATGACGCAGGTCGGCGTGACGGACGCGAGGTCTGACGCGGCGTGAAGTCTGACCGTCATATACAGACGCAATTCCGGACACTTATCAATGTTATTATAGAGTAAAGATATGACCGCGCTTCGCGACGCGAGACGCTGCCCTGCGACGCGACAGTCCGACACGAGTATGTGACCTGTTACATCATCTCTACGTCACGCCACTCACACCACTAACCCGCAGACTCCACGAAATGGTCCCTCAGTGGTGTTTTGAGCTAAGAGTATTACCGAGCCACTAAAGCAACGACCGATCGCATGCTTAACTACCATAATACCAACAGCTAATACTACATGTATTATTAGCTTATTAGCTTATTTTATTTATAATGTATTATTAACACTTGATAATACTAACACTAACGTTGCGCATGCAGGTGCATTCACGTACGCGAAAGTCACACGAATATTCAAAGATCAATGCAAATCAGGTGCACCCGTCATTTATTATATAAACGTAACAAATCCAACACAGGTAAAGACGTTGTAAAAATGTTAAATATACATTCACCGTGCCGACATTGTTAGACTTAATAGAAATGTTAGAAATTAATAATGTGTATCAAAAATATTCAAATCTATCACCTAGTCAACCTAACTTAACCTTAACCGTAACCTGAACATCTTCGCTCGTTGTGATACTAAGGGTATATATCAACGCTTATACACGTAAACTTTCACCATAGCTTTGCTGTTAGTTTTCTCAAAAAGACAACGGCAAGTACAGTTCAACATCGACAGCCTAGATCTTCGGCTAGCAGACTTTCATTTGCATGTCACAAAAACAAATATTTCAACGAATATTTCGAATTAGCATCACGATTGGACAGAGAATTAAGACTATTCACAAATAGCGACCTAGGGTAACACAGTCGTAACAATCAACCACTAGACATCCATCCCTCCGCTACAGCTTTGCAATACAGATCGTAACTCGCGTCTCAATCGACCTTGGACATAAACTTCTCACGCGTCGCGCAGACACAACACGGCAAGTTTGTTTCTTGGTGACTACTAACGTAGAAACACCAACAAAGGAGCCGGAGCCGCGTATGAATGCCATTCCAATAACTGTCGAATGGAAAGAGTTACGCAGTATAACAGCAACCAACAAGAGGCTTATCTTGCGTAGCATCGAGAAAGAGAGATAGGGAGGGAGAAAGAAAAAGAGTAGGAGAGGGATAGTCGGCGTGCTTTCATCTCCGCACCAGAAGACGGGCGGGATTTCGTTGCCCACTTGAGTGAACAATCACGCCCAGCGTTTACGTGTAATAGCATAAATAGAATGCGACCCGACAACTGATAGCAGCAGCAGCGCGATCTAGCGGCAACAATGAGCCGCTGCTTCTTGACACGTGACCGGCGTTTCTAGCGAGTCCGCTCAGTCGGCTTTTCACGTTTGACGCGCTCTGAACGAGAGATAATTCGCTCGTTACATGTGGAATCCCCATTCCGACTGCGCTCCCATCGCTTACAAATGCGAATAAAATCTGACAGCACACTAACAAGTCCCCCCTATCACCAAAGCAACCCGCAAACTAACGTTGATTCATTGCCAATCAGCATAGGACCTATTCCCAATTTGACAGCGGGGACTTGCGTAAACGCAGAGCATCCATCACAGCAACTGCCATCGCTAAGCAACGCTAGCGAACGCGGTCGCTGGCGCGCCCTGTTCGCACGCGCGAGGATCACCTCCCGTAGTCTCCACACATGTCACGTGAACATTCGCTACGATTTAACTGGCTACGGCTGTCCGTCTGCATATACAAACAGACTGCCGGTCGGCGCTATGACGGTGGCGTGTATCCGGGGTGGCCGCTATCCAGGGCGCGGCAGGGGGTCACTTTACCGTTAGACGGGTAATGGTAACTGGCAAAAGGCCCCAAGATCGCACATAATAACGTCATGCCATCGATGAAGAATGCGCGCAGCGCAAATGCCACCCACCGCGTCATAAATTATGCACGTCATAATAAACACATAGCTGAGGCACACATCAACTCATGAGATTCCATCCACTCGCTATGGCCAGACTACAGTTAAATCTGAAAACACTATAAGTGAGTGGAGTTACACTACCTCACGAGCTGACTACAGACTGAAGCGGTTGCGAACCGTATTTACGTTCATTTATGAGTGAACCAACTACATGAACACGCTCAGTTTCATTCCCTGCGTAGCCAGCCACAGCGTGATTGCGAGATTCATAGCGAGATTTCATAGCGAATAAAGTCAACGACTCTCGCACGGTGTTTATGGGAGGCAGCAGTGTTTGTCGCAGGCGGCCCGATAAACAGCTCGAGCATGACACATGTCTGAGGTGTCTTTTCCTCTGAACAACATCAGGTTAGCGGAGGTGTCAAGTACGCAAACGGCGGCCATAACTGCCTGCTAGCAAGCCGACCTGTGAACAACACAGCATATTCCTAGACTTCAACGAATAAATATCACGTTCGGAGGTTAGAGATACTACGACTAACGAATTCCTTCCCTGCAATTAGTTCAAATAAGGCGTATGTAGACTCATGTTTCTTACTATTTGTACAAAAAATCAAGCTGGGCCGTGACCCTCCAACTGCAGAACCGTAGCTATAACGAGGCAATTTGCTGATTTGACAGTTAGGCAGTTGTGCCTGAAAGTAGAATGGGTTACAAATAAACGAACATGTTTCTAAGGCTACTTCGATTCTTTTCAAGAAACATTTTCTTCATTTCAAAAATATCGTACAATATAAATTATTTTGGACTTGAATTTACATAGACGCGTGCACAGAAAGGAGAGTGAGTTTTCATGATGAATTCATGTACAGTGAGCATACCATTTTTGAGTAATAATTAAAAGCATATAATAAATTCTATCGAAAGCATCGATAAAATGCGAAGCACACATAAGTAACTTGGCATTTTATGCTAGGAATTTATGCATTTGTAAGACAGGTTCTCGAAGTTTTTCTTCGCTTTGCTTGGCTGTCACCGCACCATGTTCTCTCGCCAGCTATGGACCTAGCATTCGGGATGTCATAGGACCGAGAGTAAACCTACAGTAAGACTCGATTCTACATGTTTGCTGTCTGCGTATTTAGCTTCCGTGGTGTTGCTGATATGGCTTTCCTGTTATCTGTTGATCTGGACTTAACCTGTCTACTGCCCCAATTCCTTGGCCCCTGGCGTTTAAGATTGACTAATATCTGTTTATCTTGTTCGCTGTCTTTTTGACATCTGCAGTCTGTTTAACTCGTTCATTTGGATTTTTGACCATCTTTTGTCTGTTTAGTTTGCTCCGTCACCTTTTGACTGTCTGCCGCTTGTTTCATTTGTTCCTTTCATTTTTGACTCTCTGCCGCTTGTTTAGCTTGTTCCTTCAGCTTTAGACTCTCTGCCTCTTGTTTAGCTTGCTCCTTCAGTTTTTGACTCTCTGCCGCTTGTTTAGCTTGTTCCTTCAGTTTTTGACTGTCTGCCGCTTGTTTAGCTTGCTCCTTCAGTTTTTGACTCTCTGCCGCTTGTTTAGCTTGTTCCTTTAGTTTTTGACTGTCTGCCGCTTGTTTAGCTTGTTCCTTTAGTTTTTGACTCTCTGCCGCTTGTTTAACTTGTTCCTTTAGTTTTTGACTCTCTGTCGCTTGTTTAGCTTGTTCCTTTAGTTTTTGACTCTCTGCCGCTTGTTTAGCTTGTTCCTTCAGTTTTTGACTGTCTGCCACTTGTTTAGCTTGTTCCTTCAGTTTTTGACTGTCTGCCGCTTGTTTAGCTTGTTCCTTCAGTTTTTGACTGTCTGCCGCTTGTTTAGCTTGTTCCTTCAGTTTTTGACTCTCTGCCTCTTGTTTAGCTTGTTCCTTTAATTTTAGACTTTCTGCCGCTTGTTTAGCTTGTTCCTTTAATTTTTGACTCTCTGCCGCTTGTTTAGCTTCCTTACTCGGATTTGGACCCCCTGATGTTTGTTTAGTTGCCTTATTTGGTATTTTACCTCCTGCTGCCTCTCTAGCTTGCTGTTCCGGTGTCGCACTGTCAGCACCTTTGTTGATATACTTCTCTGGAGTATCCGGCACAGGCCAGCCGAGGTGCCTCAGCCCGGGGGCGAGCTTTTCCAGGTCCACGGGTGGCATGTACGTGGAGCGGTAACTGAAGAAGACGATTGCGATAAACTTTTCAATGAACTTAATAATACAGAAATAAACAATACAATAACTAACAGCTACAACCTGCGCTGGGATGGCAGGAGACGACGAATCTTGGAAATATATATGGAGTTCACGGCGAATGTGTGGCCATCACGAGTTAATTACTGGTGATAACAAGACAGAGTGATCTTTCACTGACATTTTGCATGTAAATATATGCAAAAACTATACATAGACAGCAACACGTTAGTTACCTTCTCTTATACCAGTTGCCCGCCTGGGCCTCCTTGCTATCTGGGTGTGTGTATTCATAGACATAGTGCTCAGCACGGATATACCTGAAAGCAGACATGAGCAAACTGAGAATGTGAATCCGAACACAAGCACACATTTAACAAGTAGCAGAGTGATTATTATCATTATACAAGCAAGTATATTTGGAAACAGACATTTATAGGTGCATTAGCGTGATATGCCTCTCACATTAGGTGGTGTAAATGATCTACTAGTCCTGAGCAGTGTTACTCCACTTAGCAAAAATAATGCTTTCCAGAAGAAACGTTTGTAACGAGACATTTCGTAATGTGAATCACGTTGCCCCATTGACCTCCATGATATGATTAGAGATGCGTTTCTACGAAAGTTTTTTAGCCAGAAGATGTAGGTAATTCCCAGATCCTCACTCTAATACAAGCACGTATAAATGTCAGTAAACAATGATGAGCATATGTATTACATAGTTAATATGTAACTACAGGTTGTCCTTACAGCAAATACACTGCCAAACATGTATATTGCTTATTTAATTAAAGCGAGTAAATTTTTTTTATCCATTTATTTATGAAAACTACATGAGAGCAAATTTACGTTTCGTATCGTGAGTCAAGTGGTCATAATAATTATATAAATTAAGTATGGGTTAATTAACATAACTCGAATACTCATAAAACGGGGTATGATTGCATTACAATGAACAATCAGGCAGAATTGCATATTCTGCCCTTTGCTGGATCTGTCAGTATTTCAAAACTGGAATGCCACAACAATGAATATAACAACATCAAAAACAACAAAATTAAAAACAAGACCGTCCGACCTCACGTCCATCTAGGATTTTACGCTGAATACAAGCTGATTTGATAACTCACACGGCTACATATTGAGAGAACATAATTACAGAGAGAAAACCAAGAGATAAAAGGATTACTATTGGCTTCACAACTGCAATATTGCTGCTGCCGTATACATGCAAAAACTATTACTTCACAGTTCACATGTGTGAAGCCTGCAACTAGATCTAGGTTGAAAGGTCCCAAGAAAGCCCTGCAAATTATCACTGGGAGGATTTCTAGCTCAAACTAAGAGTGCCCCCGGACACATAAATGCGAGTGCTAGTCCATTTAAAGGAAGACAGACTAACCGCCAGGCAACACTGAGGAACACACAGCAAGCACGCAGCCGAGGACATCCAATGCAGAAAGATATAACTCATGAACATGAGTGTTGAAGACACAGAATAACGGCCACAGCGCATAAATCTACAAACAGCAAATGCTCACCCAGGGACACACTGCCCTGAGCAACGGCACTAATTAATAGAACCACATAAGTGTACCGTAGCCGTAACAACAGACACGAAGGCAATAAGGTCCACTTCATTCATCAGGCAACAGTTCTCCCCCCTCCCCCACACTTAAATCGCCCCGTGTACAAATTTTTTTGTGAATGCACTCGAGAGCCAGTTGTGCAGGCAGATCGTCTCCGTAAATGGCTTTTTGATCTTCGGGGCACCGTCTAACAGGACCGCTCCGCGCAACGCTTCTTAACGACGGCGAGTTGTCCAGTTCGAAACCCGTGGCGACTGACTGGGGCTGCAGGGGTAATTAGTGGCACCGATAGCAGTATGATGGTCCATCAATAACCCGTGCGCACTAATTGCACTGCGCAGGTGATTAACAGTCCCATTAGTACACGGGACTAATTTTTATGGCGCTGCTAAGTGGTTTTTAAACTTGCGCGCAACGTTGGCACGTCACGGGACCGGCCTTGTGGCATTTCTACGCGGAGACAGCAAAGAATGTGCTAGCATTGAGAGAGAGGTGGGTATGTTTCTCCTCTACTCAGTCCCCGCAAATTCCCACAACCCAGGAGATGTTAGCTTCAGAATTTTGTCTCGCAGAACTATTAACGACAAAAATTAGGATAGTGAAATAATAACTTTTAGACATACCAGACCTTTCCATATCCTGTCGAAATTTGTGCTATTTAAATGCATATAATCGTGACGTTCAGGGCCATAAGCTTAAACGAAATAACATATCTACGAAACGTTTATCATGCAATTTTAAACATAATTAACAGGCGTGGGAATTAACTCAATCAGTGTGGGTCGGCAGCGAAATGAATCAGTCTGCTGCTGTTAGAAGTTCAGCCGTAGCATATGAATTCAATGCACTGAAAGCCCCTGTTTTGGGATTTTCTATTGTGCAATCAATAATTGAAAACAATAATAAAACTTGAAGGATTCCCAAGGACTCGTGGTTATGTAAAATCAGGGAGTATTTGACTTCGACCGCCTGCATTAATGATAGATACGTTCGTATGAGCTACTTTACTCGCACGCATATGCACGCGTTGGCTCACCCGAACATTACTACGCGTTGCCGTAGCAACGCATGACTGAGCGACAAGCAATTCAATAACACACACGGACAGATCTTATACAAGTTCATTACAACGTTGTACCCGTACAATTTACGTCCTCGTTACTGAAAGCGAGGTCTTAACAATGCCAACCATTAGCATCAATTTACGCGAGGAGACCAGCGCTTTAAAATAGAACACCCACGTTTGGCCCTGAACGTGATTAAGCGACGTGTCTTTCCTGTTGCTTGCCACGTCCGAGGGCACGAGAAAACTAGTCAATTCTGTGATAAAGCATGACTGATATGCTTTACAAGCTCCAATTAGGTAAAGAACATGGCGAAAGGCGTGGTATAAAATCTGTCGAAGCATGGCAGACATCGGATTAATAGAAGCGGGTGACAATACGCCATTCAGGCCCATTCTTGTAGGGTGTTTCAACTCTGGAGCAATATAAAGAAGCAGGGGAATCTGTGGGAATGATCATTTGGCGTGGGTGCGTAGGTTCAAATGATCGAGCCGAGGATTGTCCAAAAATAGTGCGATTAATGCTAGCTGATAATTCCCGCTATGGAAACATTTTATATTTCCTAAGAAAAGCTCCGTCCAGCTGGTCTCGTCAATTACAAAACATACGTACTAAGGCGTGTTGTATAGCAACGAGTAGCTGCTAGCAACAAGAGCAATGTCTTCTGATCGGCTGCTGCTCGAGTTGTTATATGCAACAAGCAGTAAAGATACGATAGCAGTAATATCTGTCTCACTTTCACGCAACACTTGTGTGCGCGCGCGCGCGCGTGTGTGTGCGTGCGTGTGTGTGTGCGCGCGCGCGCGCGCGTACGTGCGTGTCCGTGTGCGTACGTACGTGCGTGTATGAGTGCGTGCGTGTGTATGTGCATGTGTGTGTGTGCGCGCGTGTCTGTGTGCGTACGTGCATGCACAAGTGCGTGTACTCGGCCTCACCGGCAGCGCCTCAGAAGTTACCGGTCTTCAGTCAGCAAAAACTCCGGCAAACCAGCAGATCCTAGTCAGGCACGAGCGCACGGACATGTCTCCCTAGGTCGTGATAGTCGTCTATGTGGATGAATACTATCAGAAGTAGATACTATACATGAATCTATAGATATACCGGTATACCGCGATGAGAAAAATCTCGGCCCGACAGCGCTCTTCAAGGAACTGGTTCTCGTGACCGCGACTCTGTTAATTACGGCTAAATATAATTAATCACTTGTGCTGCCAATTAAGAAACTAAACGGCTAATTAAGAACAGAGAATGTCCCCGGGTGCCGGATCGCCCACAAACCCGCCATCTCTCACTCGCGCAATGAAGGCCATCTGTGTTACGTGTACCCGTGTGCGAGCGCGCGTGCGCGCGAATGTGCGTGCACGTGCGCATTTACATAAGTGTGTGCGTCCGTCCGTGTGCGCGCGTTATGCCTTCCCTTGTCTGTTTGCCTATGTGAGTGTGTGTCCCTGTGGTTAAGGGCACACGCACAGGTGTTTACGTAACACTATCGTTCACAGTAAACCAACGCGAATAAGGTGCGCTATTTAAATTTCGCCAACATCATACAGAAACGATGAAAGCCGGTGACAGATATTGGTCTAATTAGCACTGATAACTACGAGACAATCCACATTTACGGCCATTTTGTCATAGCTGGGGGGCTAGAAGGAAAATTACAGGAAGACGTAAGAAATTGCCTGGCACTGGCAGCTTTATGACCACACACATAACACACCTACATAGTATATCGCAGCATGTGGAAAGAGATGAATAGAAATAAACTATTTCAAGGATCATGAAAGTAGTCATATATAAATATATATATATATGTGTTGTGTGTGTGTGCGTGCATGCGTGTGTGCGTGTGTGTGTGTGTGTGTGCATGTACCTACGATCTTCCGTGCATACGTGAGCGCGCGCGTGTGTGGATATATGCTCTTCCGTTACTACAGTTTATGTAAATTTCAGACACACACACGCACATACACATACACACTCACGCACGCACGCACGCACGCACGCACGCACATATATGTATATATATATATTTATTTATTTATTTCATAATTATATTTATTTACCATTATTATTATATGACTTCATGTTACTTATCTTGATATTGGCTATCGAATAACCTCCTCCATTTAGCAAGATAAATAATAAGTCGTCTAACTAAAAATACTAAAGTAGTCTTGGCTTCCAACACACACATAATTAGGTAGTAAACGAAGAGGCATTTGACGTAGCATTTGCTAGTAGATTGAATAGCAATTATTAAACTCTACTTTATAATTGCACTAAACAGTCTGTTTAGTTGTTCAACTAGAATGATATCCCCCACCTCACCCCAACCACACCCACCCGCCAACCCACCCCAGGTGCTGTTATTTAGAGTCAGATCCAGTTTTCACTAGTTACAAGAATACCAATATAAAGTTCTCAGTGATTGATATCTTACAATATCACTAAGTCACTAGCATCCAATTCCGATTCCAACATTCTTTTTGACTCTGAGTAGGTGTGTGGTCATGCAAGAAGATATTTGGATTTTTACACGGAAAAAATATTTAAATACTATAAGTAATTCTTAAGATGAAAATATCTCAAAATATAATCATTTGTGACATGCACGATACATCAGTCCAAGCCGAATGCCAGGCGTAAAGTTAGCGGATATTAATACTTCTATATATTCATATTATATATATATATACATCGCTGAATCAAGAGCCGATGCAACGTATATTTATTTGTTAGTCTACTTTTAGTGACCGCGCCCCTGAGCGCGATGCCGCCTCATGACTTTGTCACGCGGTGCAGCAGTTTCAGTACGATTACTCACTATGCATAGTACTACTATCTACGGACGGGTGCGGCAATAGCGGGTGGGGGTGAATCTAGCGGCGCAGTGTAAACGTTGCTCTGCGTCGACTGACCGGACATACACTGAGTAGATTCGAAGCTCGCGCACGAGAGTCCAAACTTTCACAGCCTAGCGTCGGGTGGCTTTAACGGGGAGGGGGGGAAGCAAAGAGGAGCCCCTCGCTATGCCCCGTCATCTGCTACAGAGGGGCAACGGTCGTCTGTTTAGAACTGTCAGGTAAACTTGTCACATAGCCCGACTGCCGCATCTCAACCATCCGGGCAGGCAGGCAGGTAGGTAGAAGACGGGTAGGCGAGCGAGCGGGCGGGCGGGCAATGACAGGCACGCAGGCGGGTAGGCGAGCGGGCGGGCAGGCAGGCGGGCAGCCTGACGGGCGGAGCGGCCTACGGGCGGGGACAGACAGAAGGCGGGCAGGCAGGCGGGCGGGCGCTTGTTCGCGTTCGCGCAGTCATGGACTAGCGACTATAACATGCAACCAACCAAGCGACCTCGAGAGTTGAACGCGCACGGCGTTGTTTCTTTTACCAACTTGTGCCCCGCGCGCGCACGGCGTTCTAAATGGTAATCACCGACATGCGCCCTTGTCAACGCCGCCGACATGACCGAGGAGGGCGGAAATTCGTGGCTCCGTGCTTTTCTCGGCAACCCCGGCATTAGCCCGACCAGGCTGTGTGACTAACGTCAATATACACGTCTTCTAAGTTTCTAACCCTAGCAAAGACCGTTTCTTGGAGCTACCCCGGCATGTGGTTTATCACGTCTGCGTCGTCTTGCAGACGAGATAGCAGGCAGCCGAGAGCGGAGGATCTTCCGCAAGAGCGCGGGAAATGGACATCGCGATCATCTGGCTGTTACGCGCCATGCTCTGTATCGGTCGACAACACATGCGCGCCAACCAGCCCCAGAACACACGCAGCCGTCGGCGGCAGCCTTCCGAATCTAGTCCGCGGGCAACGTCTCCCATTTGGCGCGGAAGGCATTTCTGCTAATTAGCATCAGGGCCTAACGAACGGCTGCCTAATTAAGCGGTAATTGCCGAGAAAGCTGATACGCCGCGCGCGGCCTGCGGCGGCGCACGCTATAGCACCCTGTCCGCTGTCGTTATATATACCGAGTTGTGTAACAGTACCCGACGACGCTAGTAGCTGCTGCACTTTCGCACGACGGCAGCCGGGGCCGTTGCCTCGTCCGCCATTGCAACGTCACGCGACCGTTCGACCAGCCTGCAACCGTGCAGCACTGTCCGAACGGCGACGGCAAGTGTGACGCAATCCTATCCTAGCCGTGTCATCAATTATAGAACCACTCGGCAGTAACGGGTCAGGGGGAAACAATAATGGGGAGCAGCCGACGTTACGGAGAACCCAATACTGCTAATGCCGCCGTAACACATGCAGCGGGGTGCACACATGTTGACAAAACACCATCATCGACTCCGCAAATATGGCTCCTACTGAACACAAGTGATTGGAGAGTTGTGTTGCTGCTGTTAAGATGCCGATAGATCTGGTTTTTCACGCCCACCAACTGAACTATACTGATAGTAGTGATACGCGCATTAACACTGCCCGCATGCGCGTAAGGACATGCAACTACGCACACGCACACTCACACGCGCACGCACGTACGCACACGCGCACGCACGCACGCACACACACACACACACACACGCACGCACGCACACACACACACACACACCACACACACACACACACACACACAGACGAACGCACGCACGCACGTACGCACGCACGCACGCACGCACGCACAGCCGCACAACACACACACACACACACCACTGAGACACACAGACAGTAAATTATATTGAAAAAACTCTTTATCCATTTAGCCACTGTCTACAATATTATCAAGCTTGCAAGATACTGAGAATCATATATCAGCATCATATATCAGTTCCACTGATGGTGGATGAGATAAATTCATTCTATGAATACAATTAAATGTAATATTGTTCAATTAGAGCAATCAAGCAAGAACCATTCAGTTCTATAGCTGCATAACAGTAGTGTATACACAGAACAATTTATCGACTATACCCATTATTTCACTGAGAATGTGCGAAAAATGAAATGGAGACAGGTTGTAAATTTGATAGCACTGATCTCAACCACAATGATACGGTTTTGCAATGGCACGCTACATGCACAGATGTTTTAAACGCTTTCCATTTGTATAACCAGCACTCGTTTTCAGTGCTCCCTACCTAATGGGTGCGCAAAAATATAGGAATATGCGAACGTGTGATAAACTAACCCGAATGCCTGTGACCCTTCACGTCGGAACTAACATTAGCTTAGCAACGATCGCTCTCAGTCGAAAACAACCACTAATTACAGGCAGCTAGATCCTGGGTTAGCACGACAACAGCCAATTATAGATCTAGATAGCTTCGTTAGAGAATGACAGAAACGTAAATCGAATTCTCATCTTTTGTGTCATTGACATTTTTTCGGCAGACGTCACTCCTATTATATGTCTTATCTGAAGGACACAGTCATCACTCAACGCCGAATATGCCATGGCTGGAACTACTCGATATCCAATAGCACGTGATTATAACCCCCCTCGTTTACTTCACGAATCTACCGCCATCAAATGACAAAGGTTATTATTCTGCCAATCCATAGCAAAACTGGGCCACAATTAAAAAAATCCTTGTTTGCCCTCACCCGACCCAGGCTGAAAAGTTAGGGTAGGTAGGTATGCTTTTTTTGAGGGGGGTCTTTTTACAAATTCAGCATGGTGTCTACATGCTCGGGTGTGCTTGTGTGGAGATACCTTTTATGTTGAACGTTTGTTTTGCTTGGTACATATAATGTATTGCCTACAGATTTATATAATGTACAGTGATACAATTTGTAAAAAAAAAAAGAATGGGAAAGACCAATAAAAAAATTTGAGTCAGCCCCTTTTTGGCGGGTCGGTCGGGTGAGGGCAAACAAACAATATTTTTATTATGGCCCTGTTATGCTTCACTCTGGCAGTTCAGGAGATAGACACTGACGGGGGGGGGGGGGGGGGTAGGTGCACATCATGCACTCTTTTGCATTGCAAGTAACACGTGTCGGAGTAGCAGTAAATCCTTTGCATAATGGTTAATATCAACAGAAAAGTTGATGATGTGTCAATGGTTCAGTGACTTACCGCGGCGGATCGCTGCCCATGAAAGGATTGTGTGCCATCAGACTTGTCACCAGCTGATCGTTCACCAACAGCTTAGCAGTCAGGTGCACAAGCCACGGATTATACTGGTAGTTCTTAAACAAAAACAAAACAAACAAACAATGCAACCACAACTTATAGCAAATCAGCTGTGGTAACCATGGCTAAATACCAATGCCGTACAGCTTTATGCGATGAACATCCATATGATGCACAAAACTACAAATGGCAACCAAACCATTAACAAATTATTTCCACCAGCAGATGTGCGAGAACCTATAAAAATATTTACATGTTCAAGTTAGATAGGAGACTATACACTTTAAATAGATTTTAAATAACTAGATAATACATTATTCTCAGTGCTAAGAATAATTTGCTACTTGACATTATCACTAAGCCAGTAGTAGTTAATACTCTATGATCAGAAAGATTTCAACAATTTCACGTTTTTTCTATTGGTTCTTATATTTTCTTGACTATTCTGATACCAACTAGCTAGTACTTCTTACATAACACCAAGTGAACAAAGTAAGGCTAACATGTCTTAGAACATTCATACATCATTATTTAGACTAATATGTGTACTGATCTGCATTTCAAAATAGATTCGTTTACATGTGACAACATGAATAGCACTCGACTCTTGAATCTCACAAGATGCCATCACTGGTAAACTGGTACCTTCTCTCTACAATGTTAGCTTTATCTACATATTGAAATGGGGTAAGAGTCTAGAACGTACACGTAAACAGGTACACTTGTTTTGTGGCAGCATATTCATTTTGTAATTTTCGTGTATCTCAGAAATGCAGGTGCAATTTTGCTGTTTAAATGCTCTTTTATAGCCTATAACAGCACACACTCATAGTAATTTTTGTGCTGAACTAATTAGTCATATATCTATTAACAGGTGAGACCTAATTTATCTACATGTATTAGTTCATCGGTTAATTTTAGAGATAATGATATTAACCCGATAATGATATGAACTGATATAGCTCGTACACCTGCTGCCACCTAGAGGACAATTGAGTAATAAATTGTTATGAACTGTTTAGAAATCCAGCATTGAAAGTACAGCTACAGTTTCATTGCGTTTCTTCATCAGGTGGCAGCACATACTAATACAAGACAACAAGTATATCGCGCAAGCACACCTGGAAGGCTGCGAACCACATTAGCCAGTCTAGTCGGTAGTGGTAAGGAGAGATTACACAAGGACGCTGAGACAGGTTGCCTGGCTTGCACTTGAACTCGTACTCCTCCCACGTGGCGCTGGCACTGAGAGGGTCTTCGTCGTACGTGCCCTGCAGTATCACCTCTGTTCTCTCCTTAGTGATGCTGCAAGCAACAACCGCCAATAACTTTGTGCCCAATGTCATTCTACTTTACGCGAAAAACTTTACGCTCAAGAATATCTGCTGATGCTTCAATGTACAGGAAGTCCTAGGGTTATGAATGCAATTTCCACAAAAGTTTCACCTCTCTAGTCCAATATGTTCAAAGAGCTTAGTTTGGCCTATATGCGTCCATGAACGAGCGAATCGTATATTGTGTTCATGAACACTAATACCAATAACACATTGCAGTTTGCTGTAAATATTAAAATAAACAATAGAGTGTAAGTCTCCTGTGTTCAGAAGCTTGAATATTTGTATCTCGGGGTAGGAGGAGAGTGGGTGCCAGCATCAAGGGGTAGGGAAGAACAACTCCATGGTATTAAGATGGCACCATGCAGCATCAGTGGGAAAGATAAGAATGACTCCGTTCTGTATGAAGAGGACACGGATATTAGCGGGAATGATAATAACGACTATATGCTAGATGAAGAAGGCAACGACGTCAGAGGGAAGGAAAAAACAACTCCATGTTGTAGGAAGATGGCGCCAGCACCAGTGGGAAAGATAACAATGCCTCTATGCTTTATGAAGAGTGCGTGGGAGTTACGGGCGACGTCGGGCGGCGGCTGATCGTACCTGCCGAACGCGCCGTACGTGTTGACAATGCGCAGCGGATCGAACGACGTGTTCATCGCCTGCTTGGCCGACGCGAGGTTGGCGATCACGGGCACGCTCAGGTAGACGAGCGCGACACCGACACACACCTCGACGACTCTGCGCAGCCCGCGACCTGCAGCATCCAACACACAATCACACACACACACACACGTGACAACGACACCGACGGTGCAACCCCACCTTACAGGCCTGGCTATCCACTGCTCCACCTACCGTCTAAATCGAGTGCGGTGCTGAATATATTGCAGCAGCACAGTGACTTGCCCATAGGGTAATTTCCGTTCTGTAGATAGTTCCCACTAGCAATTTACTTTAATTTGAGAGAGTCGTTAAGTAAAAATACAGCAAGTACAGTCTAAAAGTAAATAAAGTATGGGCACTGAAATATGCAAAGTCTGTAAATACTTGAACTTCTTGTTAATGACCGGATTTGAGGTGAAGTTATGTCACCAACCGTGATGAGCCGTCATGCTACTTTTCACATCTTGCTGCAACTGCGCCACCTGGTTCTTTGTGCTGCTCCCAAACAGGAATGTTAGATGCGAATCATCAAAGCAACAAATGCTTGGAAGTATCGTTAGCCAGTTGAGGAAACTTAGATTTCCACTCAGAATTAGGACCACCTAATGGACAAGTAGAGATTATTATGTTAAAAACTTGATCTAACCCAGAGTTCACATAGAAAGTATAACCAGTTCTCTCCAATTAAAAGTTAAAAGGATCACTGTGTATGCTGGCCATAAAATGCCCGAGTACTAAATGCTAGTCATGGCACAATGTCAGGAGTAGGTAAATTTGGGAAGAGATCAGAAGCAATTTCCATGCTTGAATTAAGGATACTATCCACGTTGTGCATGAAATTTCATCGATTTTTCGTTTTCAACTTTATTCGATGGCTAACACTATGTGCCACCTGTGTACATGCTAATTTCTCCATATAACGGTACATGTGAACTGTCAGGGCGTTTTTGCTTACCCGCGTACATGTGTGTAGTAAGCAGCGGCTGACGTCATTATGACGTCAGCGACATGATACAACCACGATATTAACTAAGCCAGTATCATTAAGCCTCAACCCTGCTACAGCTGTCATTGCATGTATTCATGTACATTCATGTACATCTGCTAGTGATCCAACTAGTATCCCACGCCCAAAATAGTTCTAACACCTCGCAACACACCTTGCAACACACGCAATCGCGCGCGTTTGCTGACATATTAGCTTTGTGACGTCAGGATGAGCAGAGTTCGCGCGTTCTGCGATGGTAACCTCGTAATTTCTCAGAATTTCTCAAGGTGCATGGAACATTTTACCAATTTAGTGGTGTCAGTTAGTCATGGATATGTCGCAGTAAGTACTAACAATAGATATATTACATACGTTCACCCATTTTGCACACAGGCGGTCACTCATTGTGAAAAATAGAAAAACGCTAATTTCTCCGTTTCGATTTCTGACATAGTAGCCGATGTATAAATGGATATTTCTCTGTGATTACAACTCGGATTAATTTAATTTTACACTTGTTTTAATGGTAACATTTTGTGGTAAAGAAGTGCGTCAGGGATTGTTATTAAGTGCTGTATTTTATTAGTTATGCCTCTTTATTCGCTAAAATTTTCAATTTTAACACACAACTTGATTTTTAAGCAGTTTTTTGCAGTTTTCTCGGTAAATATAAAAATTAAAGAAAAATCCTGACGCACTATTTTGGTCCATATTGTGCTTAACATGTGGCGAAAATTTTGTATCCTCACTCTTTCTGGTAATTGAGAAATATCCAAAATACCATTTTTACATAAAAATTCAAAATTTGTGTGGTAACATAATTAGGTGCTGGAAATTTCATGAAATTTTTTGGCTTGAGCATAGAGATATATCTCCTCTATAAATAAAACAAGTGATTGATTCGATTTATTCGCCAATAAACGTTTAATCTTCACTAGAGCAATACCCGTGCACAACGTGGATAGTATCCTTAAACCTTCAATCTGATGTTTATCAGATCGAGTGTATGTAGATCTATCTGGGTTAATTGTTACTCAACCCTGTTGATTGAAAACGTACAGCTGACGTTTCGCCTCCTATCAGGAGGCTTTCTCAAAGCTGACTGAAGATTATCAGTTCTGACCACCAGATGGTGTAGTGGTTAATAGCTTGCTTGGTCCACACGTGATTGATAAAAAAAATCTGACTGATAATCTTCAGTCAGCTTTGAGAAAGCCTCCTGATAGGAGGCGAAACGTCAGCTGTACGTTTTCAATCAACACGGTTGAGTAACAATTAACCCAGATAGATCTATTATTCTACCAATTGAATGAACTTATTTAAAGGAATAAAATGTCCATTGATTATGCAATGTTGACGAATGCTAGAGTAACTGGCACCTTGTGTAGTTAATAAGTACATTACCTTATAGCCAAACGCGTATTAGTTTTATCCAATATCACTGCTTGTTACTAAGAAATGTCTAATTGAAATCCGCAGTCCAAGAAATCAGTTGACCGAGTTGTTTACAGTTTCAAACCGCTGCCAGCAAAGCGGGTGTGATACAGATTTATAGCGCACCGGGCATTTTCGAACGCATGCTCGGCCGTACTCAATGCTATCATCAGTGATTTCGTAAACACGGACGCTCGTGATAAGGAACTTTTTGTCAGGGCTGTCCTTGTGCATCCGTGATTAGTACGTGTTTTACTCCATTTCCATGTTTAGTCCGTGGCCGTGGTTACACAGCTGACACCTCCATTTCATCTGGCGTCCAAAACATACGGGCCGCACAAATGTTTACGTCATCGGTGACTTACCGCTCGACTCCTGGATGACATTTACGGCACGTAAATGAATATCAACAATCGATTTCAAGCCTTGCTTGTAATGTAACCAGCAGTGATATTGGACAAACTAATACGTGTTAGGCTATAAGGTTACGTACTTATTAACTACAAATGTGCCAGTTACTCTAGCATTCATCAACATTGCATAATCAATGGCCCTATTATTCCTTTAACAAGTGTATGTACTTTGCAGAACTGGGCTGTAGTCTGGCAAGCCTACCCTAGTTTCGCTCACCTGGAAGAAGATCTGAAGGAAACCATTGATAGCACACATTCGTCTGCCCATGATGATGAACCAGGGTGCAATAAGCTCTATGATGTGATTCCCTGCGACCTCCAGATTGTGGATATAGATTGGAGATCTGTGCAGGTAGTAGCTGAGTGGATTGGGAACGGGCTGGGTCTAAAACACAATATCCACACTTTTTGTCAGTCTACCACCCAACTGTGACATGCTGTGATAGCAAACTCCAATGCAGTGTTTGTTCAATGCCACACAATATTAACATAGACATGAGGCTAAACCTACTTTACAACTAAGAAATTGCAGATAATATCCATAGCACACAAGACAATTATTGACTTTACACCAAAGTGATAAACTCAGAAATGAGCTGATTAGGTAACGATTGCCATTTAGTGAACAGATATGAGGGATTATTCCCAGTGTAATCTATTAAACATCTTCACCTCATAGTGATAGTTCATGCAGGTCAACTTTGTCCAACAATCATCACCCCTAATTTTAATCAGACCCTGTGGAGAAATTGTCAATAAAGTTACACTTATGCTTTAATATATCACAATATATTAACAATAGAAAATAAGAACATATTACCAGAGCTACTTAATCTGCTCGTAAATTGGTTCTAGGTAGATTGCTACACACATACAACTGCATCATACTAGCAGTTTTATATGTGAAATTGCACTGAAAAATCCACACGTATGATGAATAAACATATTTACACTTTTACGGAGCATCAGAAAATCTTAGTGTGTATCCACAGGGTATATCGAGCAGGGAAACTCTTATTTCATTAACATTTTTAATAATATATGAACTTTTTAACATAACAAGTGCCGGGGAGCGACAGCGCTCATCTAACGTCTACTGCGGTGACTCTGTGGTGGAGTGGTGGGATTCTAGTAAACCCTGTTAGTCCCAAATGTGT